TCTCTCTCTCTCTCTCTCTCTCTCTCTCTCTCTCTCTCTCTCTCTCTCTCTGTTGTGACGTGGTCTAACTCGACGCAGTGGGTGGTTGGCGGGTACTCTGGTGTGGTTTGCTCCTTCTTTCCTGTCAAACATCTATCTCCGTTATCTACATGTATTCTTCTTTCTTTTTTTGACAGTTTGTTACTCTCTTATAGCTCCTCTAATCTTCGGGACTTATGATTATGACCTTATTGTGTTGCAAATGCCGTATAACTCTTACTGCAACATGAAACAAAGAACTGGACGCGTCCAACTGGTTTCCATTCGCTCGATGAATTAAGTCAAAAGTGAACCAAGCAATGTGATTCATAAACATAAGAGTCGTGGGCACGTTGCCACGAGGTCCGAACGACTTTCGATTTTTTTTATCCCATAGGCTGTTGGGACCGCTAGTGGTTACATAGTCGAAGTACTCCCCTCGCTTTCGGTGATGGAAGCGCAGGTGGTTGGAGGGCGCCACTGGTATGTTCCTACTTCTTTACTTTCCTTCTGATATCTCTGTCTGTTTGTCTTACTTTCTCCCTGCATTAAATAACAATTATTGTGTCGGTGTGCTTCTCATTACGCAAACAAACAAAGCTAACAGTAACAAGCGATGAGTGCGTCCTCCCCATCCTCTCTCGTTCACCACCGTGTATGGCATGCGCTGACGTACATCAAACAGAAAAAGTAGAGCCTAGTACATGATAATTCAATAAATAATGAAATGATAGAATTTTCATGAGAAAGAAAATTCTGGAATGATACATCTTCCCCCATATTCCTATATCGCGCAGAGACCTGGACTTTGACAAGGAAAGAAGAAAACAAAATATGCGTTTGAGATGTGGTGCTATCGTAGATTGGCCAGAATAAGTTGGAAAACAAAAAAGACAAAGTGATGTGTCAGATTCTACTCACAGGACAGACCCTGCTGAGCAAAATCTTCATCTTCATCATCAGCATCTTCATTATCATCATCATCACCATCCAGTGCCAGATCTGCGACCGACATCGCATCGGCGAGTTCTTTGCTCGGATGCTTTTTTAAAAAGCTACGTTTCCCTGATCTTTCCCCGTTACCCATTTGTTTATGTTCCGTAAAGTAGGTTGCTGTGGGCCTACTCCTGCCTGGTTTGCCTTCAATTGTGCCAGTGAGAACTAAATGTTCAAGACCCTATGTCTATTCAGGTGTCCCAAAAACTGCATTTGTCATTTCCTGATTGTTTTAGTTTTAGCAGTGAGCGTCTCACGTGGGCTTCATCGAGCACTACCTCGTTTGATTTGTTTTCCATCCTCTATATTTAAAAAAAAAATGTCGAAAAATACAATACTATGGCCATTTTTAAAAGACACGATACCATTGTGAAAGAGGTGCTTGAAAGAAAGATTTGGGACAGTAAAGCCAGAGGAAGGCAAAGAATAACATGGATGGACAACATAAAAACATGGACTGGATATGGCAGAATGTGCAACGGCAGCTCGCAACCATGAAAGATGAAGGGTCATTACACGTCAATCTGAGTCAGAGAGGACACCTCCAGATGGTCAGATCGATAGAATTTACATGGCGGAGATTCCTGGGGGGGGGGGGGGTCTCGTGGCCTAGAGGTTAAGGTGTTGGCCTCTCATCCAAAGGTCCCGGGTTCGAATCCGGGTAGCGACCAAAAAATTTTGTTCTCTAAATTTGTCTCCTTTTACCTCATTTCCTGCTCTCTAGCAATGTTCTGTCGTCTGCTTTCGTCTCCTCTTTCTGCCCCCACCCCCTCACCTCCTTTGCCCCTTCCTCTTGGCTCCTGATTCTTTCTGCAGCCTTTCTACTGCTACTCCTTCGCTTCTTCTTACTGCTGTCTTTCAGCCACACCCCTGATCTTCTGGTAGGAAAGATCTACACCTAGCTTTTTCGGACAAGGGCGAAAAATCTCGGAGGGCCCGTGTGCAAGTTGCGCACGTTAAAGATCCCTTGGTGGTCTAAAATCGATGAGAATAGGCTTCGGCCGCCACCCGGGCAAAATTCAAAATTTCCTACCAACTGAAAATATTAGGTGTGTCCCGTGCGCTCATATGACCTTATGTAGTTGCGAGCGCCGTAAAACACTTAACAAAAACAAAAAAAGGAGATTCCTGCTCAACAGCAAGCTCTGTGCGTTTTACAATCTATTATTATTACTCCAGCCGACCTGATAGCACTCTGAAACAATCTCAACTAACTGGGAAGCCAACAGTGCCAGCTGCCATTTTATGGGCGCTAAAACGCTACCATACTGACAAGATCTTTTGCTGTTTATGACCGGGTACCCATTTACAACTGGATGACGTGGGGAAATTCGTGTCAAGTGCCTTTCCAAAGGACACAACGTCGGGCTGGGCCTCTAATTCCTGACCCCGCAACTTCACGATTACGAGTCCGGTGGCCTATCCACTACGGCTGGGCAAAGAATGAATTCTTGAAGTGATTCCTGCGATAGTGTTACGGAAGAAAATTTCCAATTCCTTTTTACGTAAACCGACGGTTAGAAATTATTTGAATCGTTTAAGTTTGTTTGTTTGTTGGTTTTTTGGGTTGGTTGGTTTGTTTTTTTGTTTGTTTTTTTGTTTTGTTGGGTTTTTTTTTTGGGGGGGGGGGATTGTTGTTGTTTTTAATGTTGGTGCCTCACCGTGTTCCGAAATAATCGAGGTTGTCCTGAATCCTGAAACTGTAGAGCCGACCAGGTAACTTGTAACT